GATCACACGTTCCAAGAAGCTTGGGCAGAATGCATACTGTCTTAAACCTAAGAAGCGAGTTAAGCCAAGATACAAATATATGCCCAGGGCGACCCTCTGAGGATCACAGCCCAACAGAGATTTGAAGACACGCTGCCTAGGCCAATGTCAACATTTCCCACGACCTCTTACTGCCTGCTTTTCATCATACTATCCAGGGTATTGTGATTTGTAGGCCACTGACAGATAACTGTTCTGTGTCTTGCAACCTGTGCAAGTATATCAGGTCCGGCCCTTCCATCAGGCAGAGGCCTCAGGCAGAAGAATATGAGGTGCCATGAAAGGAGGGCACATTATTCGTTGTTTAAGTTGTTGTTTCTGTATTTTTACTGCCAGCAATGGGGACAGAAATTCTCTACCTCATACGCCAGAATAACCTGACTGACATGGGTTACTCTGCACCTAGACCTCAGGTGGAGGTGGCGGGGGGATTTCTACCCTGCCTGACACAGCAATTCATTTTTAGCCAAGACCTGGTACACGTATCAGAATCCAATTCAACAGAACGCTTTGTTCTACTCGAAACTAAATCATTTGCAATCATGTCTGGGAAATGATACTCTCCTTTTTATTATGCTTACTGTCCTTCTTTGTTATGCTTATGCTTGGGTGTATAAGCAGAGCTCTTTTTTTGTAGGACCGGGGGGGGGGGGCGGACTGGTCTTCTGTGCCAGGGAAGGAAGGAAAATGAGAGGCAGCTCACGTTTTCACAGAAACGTTCCCGGTCATCCCGGCAGGCGAAGTAGAGGTGTCGGTCTAAATGAAAGTCATCCGAGGAGAGCTCAGCCACACGTAGGATTGCCTTCTTACACTCTTTAGACACTCTCATCCGGGGTTCCTTCTCTTCTGCCTCTTTCACTAAGCCTTTCTCTAGGCAAGCCACCACCTCTCCCTGAGAGTGGGCATCCTGAAGGCAGAGAAGGAAGTTACACGGCAGTAGGGGGGGAAAAAAACTCTGCATTTATAGGGCACCTTTTCTGCCTTTCGCTCCAAGATTCTTTAGGAAACATGAGAGCAGCTGAAAGCACAGGGTTCTGCTTAGCCCACATAGGAAGCTGACTCCCCACCTCCTCCTATAAAGGGTGGAATTTGGGGGCTACAAATCCAATAATTCTCCACCCTGGGAGTTCTACCTGACAGACAAATACTGTACAGACATTTAGAGAAAGGCCTAAACTTAGAAGGCTTGGCCTCCTACATTCTGCAGGTGAACATAACTAATATAACTATTAAAACAATACAGCACTCGAGGGTGCAAGTCTGTACGGGCTAAGTCTGAGGCCACCCACATCTTATGAAAGTGTAAAGTAAGGCTTTCCCAACAACTCAGAATCATTCTAACATATCCCTCTGCCGAAGAGTGACACGATACGTGGGGAGGGAGGCTATGGGTATTAAACACCAGCCAGAGAATTTGGTTACAATCCTTTTTTGGGGGTGGGGTGGGGGTGGAGCAACGCTAGTATCAGTGAGATTATGTTCCAGCCTCTTTCCTTGTCTCCCATTTTATTGTATCCAGACTCAGCCAAATTTTGGGATCAGTTACCTTTTCACCAGGCCGTACACTGCCACACTTGAAGAGGTTAATATCATTCCTGCAGTCATCCATAAAGCCACAGATCAGGCGATAATCGCTGAAGATAACAGCTGTCATTTTGGTGATGTATTGGTGACACTGGTATTCGGTGATGTTTCCCCTGTGATCCACCAAGCAGGAGACCAGGTAGCCTTTTCCCATGGGCTCATCGGCACATTCTTTGATCTGTCCAGATATATCCAAGGTAAAAACAAATATGTATACCGCCTACAAATGTCTGGAGCTCTAAGCACACCACAGATTCATCATACCTGCTCTCTTTCCCATCCTCAGATGGAGAAAAAAAAAGGGGGGGAGGAAACGGCACTACTGTATAACAAAGGGCATGAGAAGAATGCCAGAGACACCTGGCTCAGCTCTAGAAAGTTCTAAACACATCCTGCACGGGAATAACAGGGACCACAAAGATATGGGATTCACAAGAAGCTTAGAGGTATGTTCTAGAGTGTGCTTTCAGCTTACACAGGTCTGCAGCGAGGCCTAACAGAGCCATGATCTATGGGAGTTGACAGGACCGCATACTGCCTCAATGTAATACTGTTTAATTTACTGCAATGATTCTGACTGTCAGCACACTTAATTAATTTTAATGCTTCTTATAGCTGCGCTTGGCTTTATTTGATTTTACGGATATGGTTAAATCTGTTCTCACTTGTTTGTAATATTTTATGACAACTATAAATAAGCAGCTTTGAGCACTACCTAGAAGTGTAAAGGTGGAAGAGAAATGTAATAAATGATAGAATATCTTCTGTCATGCACACCGATTCCACAATAGACTTGTTCGGGTATTTTGTCAGATTATACGAAAAGGACTCTCTGAAAGGAGAACATGTATGTGGAGGGGACTTGTTCTACTGGAAGGTGACAAACATACAGTCTTCTTAAAAGCCCAGTTTAAGAGCAATCCAAACTCAGCCTTTCATTAGTTTAGTGCAGAGGTGGGCAATTAATTTCTATAGGGGGCCACATGAAAAATCTGAACTGTGTTCGGGGGGGGGGGCAAACCAACTTTACTTAAAAATAAAATGACACAGTGATGCTATGATTGTTAATCTTTACAAATACTAAAGAGTTCTTGTTTTTTGTGGTATGTTAAAGATAAGCAACTGATCAACTTTAGACAAAAGGCTATAAATGGTTTTGATGTTCATCTTGTTCAGTGAGAGAAATCCAGTCTGTCTTGGGCTTGGACAATTACTTGAACACCAAACTGGAGCGACGACCGGCGGGCCAGACAAGAGCGGCTCGCGGGCCGCATGTGGCCTCGGGCCACACTTTGCCCAGGTCTGGTTGAGTGGCTGATAATGAAGTTAAAATGCCTAGCACTTGCAACTGCACTAATCCATCTGGATTTTATGGAATTATTTACTGGTTGACTTAACACTGTTTATCAGCACCATTGCCCATAAGTTCCATTTACATTTAGATGCTTTTAATCAGATGTGCACAACAAGGTAGAGGAAAGTGAAAAGCAGCACTTGAACTTTTAAAAATGTATTAATTGTGCTGTGATTTTAAAACAACAACAACATTAACCTGATGTAAACAGGATAAAAACAGACTCCAAGCAATGGGAGCGTCAAGACCCACAATAATATGTGGTCACCTCAAACTTGGGATCTGAAAAATCAATGCATCCTTTGGGCAACTGATCTGTCAACTGTGGTTAAGCAGGCAAGTATTTAAAAGAATTTTATTAAAACAAAAGACAATTCTGATAATTACATAACACAAATGCTTACTGGACACCTTAGCCCAATCCAGAATTTCACACTGCTCTAAGCTGAACTGTACTAAGCAAACTGTTTTTCGCTTCCAGCCTTTGATCCACAATCAAAGCATCGATATACACATGTGGCATTCATCAGTCACTTTTACTCTGGCCAATCAACTCATGAGTATCACTACTTACACACTGGTAACTAGTATTCTCAACAGCTCGGCTAGCTAAACACATCCAGATAGATTTTGTGGGTTTGTTCCAGAATGATCTGCTCTCCAAGATTACTGTAGAATAAAACTTTCCAAACTTTGCCATCAATGAAGAAAACAGCTTGAAACAGAGCAGGGCATGAGGGATGACCAAACCCCATTGGCAGCACCAGCTTGTCTTCCTGGGAACAGTACTCAGAAAGAGCCTCAGCGGAGCAATATTTATAGAGCAGATCATTTTACTGGAAAATGGATCAGTGTGCTAATGACCTGAAGGCAAGCACTTTCTGCAATTATACAAGCAATTATGGATTCATCAACAGTCGATGCTACCCGAGTCAACACAGCATTCCATCGTTTTTTTTAACCCTGAAAGGTACGAGCAAAGTAAGCTAAATCATTACCAAAACAGATATTTAATACCATTGACATACTACCTTAAAGGCAACTTCTTGTATCACTAGTTTTCATCAGATGAATTGTGAATAATGTAGTCATTTTCCTAAATCCTGGAAGGTATTCGAATGAACAACATACTCTTCCTAGCATCAGTAACCAAATCTTAAGAACTTCCCTTTCAACCATCAACCCTCTTCCAATTATATCTCAGGTTCTGGGCAGGCTCTCCACATGCTGGGAACGGTGGCTGCTGCATGACCTACCAACGCTACCAACCCACCTCATTTCCAGAAGAGGTTAATTAGCCTGTAATTTTCCCCTAAACCCGGCACCAATTCAGGTCATCCATTATCACTACATCTGTGCCAAAGGAATAGACTGAGGCTAACGATACATCTAATTCCCCTTAACAGGTGCTCCTACCTGAACATCCTGCCCAATAAAGAAAGAACAGGCTGCAACAAACATGGGGGAAATGCTTCTTGCCCGAGGAACATATTTAAAATATGTGCTCTCTCTCGCAGTTGCCTCCTTCAAAGCAGTCAGCACTTTCTTTTATGCAAATATTCCCTGCCTCTTGGATCAAATCAATCCTTCTTTCTGTAATCTGATGGCATCATCCAGTACAGGCAAAAGAAACAAGAGAGGAGTAAAGCCCAGCTAATGAGCCTACCCAGGCATCAGCCATTGGAATTCCTTCAAGCCGAAGCCGTCACCTTGGCCTGAAGTCATTCCTACTTTTCTGGAATAGACAGCTGTCATGTACTCTTCCCTTGATAAGCAAGAAGACGGGCTAAATCGAGAAAAGAAATTAGCAGCCTATTAACATGTTCCTTTCATTCCATCAATCAAAAGTTAGTTGTGGGGGGGCAGGGCGGGGGAGAGAAAAGCTCACAGCCTGCAGCTGTTAGGAGACAGACATTTAGCACATATTAATAAGTTACTTTTAAAGCTAACCCAATGTCTCATTTCAAGCCATAAGTTTTTATGGCATCGTTTAATGAAAACAAAACCAGGAATCTCATCCCGCTACCAAGGCATGCCGGACTTACCTCTGCTATGGTAGATTTGCAAACTTCTCTAGCCACTGTTTCAAATTTTGGATCTGCGGTCAGGTTCAGCTTATAGTTCCACAAGAGCTAAAGGGAATACAGAATAATAACAATCCCATAAATGCAAAGCTAGAAGGCTCGCTACGGATCATCAAGTCCGGTTCCTGTCAAGGAGGCCCAGCGGGGGAATCGAACTCCCCACCTCTGGCTCCGCACTCAGAGACCAAAACCACTGAGCTGTCTAAAAGGCACAGCCCAAGTTTTTTTTATTGTTTGTTTCTTTTTCATATTCCACAATTCCTTGACAGAAGAGGCTTCTGTTTTGACTTCAAGCAGTACCTCAGTCTTGTGTAATGAAATGCAAATAGCTCTGAAAATTTGCCCAGCTCTATATTAGATTTAAATGCAGACAATCTCAAATCAATCACGACATTCTTTCTGCAGCCATTTTCAAGGAACAGAACCCTGATATGCTGCTGCTCCCCAACAGGGAAAACCTAAGAACAGGGACTCCGGGAAGCATTGGGCTGAACATAAATCTCAATTAAACAAGAACTCATGCTTAGCAAACATGTCATGAAGAATCAAAAGCCAAAGAGGAGCACGTGGTTCAGGAGGCTGGGTTTCTGGGCTTGTGACAGCCCATGGGGCTACCAGATCTTATCCACCTGCCCCATGTTGCATATCTATTGCCTTGCACTAGTTCACTGTCTTGCCTGAAATTCTGGATTAATGCTTCATCCTCCTGAGGAACTGGGCTGCGATCCAAAAGCAGCTCATTCTATAACAACGCTTAATGACCGTCTGGAAGACGTAGTGGCAACGACTCATTATGATCCAAAGAAGAGAAATCCAGCACCTGAATTTGCAAATCAGGTATCTAGCAACTGACCGTGTGAGCACGATGGGGTTTCCTCCCTATGAATGATCCCAAATTCTTGGCCTTTCTCCTGTGCCATCAAAATGCCCAGCAAGAAACAACGGCAGAAGTTGCCCTGATTTTTAACCCCTCTTCTCCTCTCCAAACCCAGTTTTAACATGGAAGACAGAGAAGTGTCCCAGGGCGGAACTCTCACACCCTTTTTCTATTGTAAACTGTGGCTAGCAGGCCATTTCATAGCGCACTCCACGGAGACTGTCCAGGTACACCACGGAATGGAAGACCGACTCAAGCCCAGGAACCTGCTCTCTTAATTTCCCGAAGAGGGTTCTGGATCCACAGGGGGTCACAGATGGGGCACAGCCTCAGGAGGCAAAACGCCACCCTGAAAAAAGGAGCTTTGCATTTCTTTTATGTACAAAGAAAGAAAGGAATCTGCACAGTACCACATGGAAGAGCAGGACTGGGTGTGTAATAAGCTTGGGAATACAGACCTGGGTAAATAAATTTTAAGAGTACTTTACTTATTTCAGGAAAACGAACAGCCTTGTCTTCTGCAAAACCTATGTTCTACTGGAATAACAAAAGAATTGTTCTGGGTTCAAAGCTCATCCCAGCTTTGCACTATGATTATCTTGGGCATGTTCTCTGCCTTTCAGTGTCACTAACTGGCCTTCCGGGAAACAGCTCTTTTGTGACTAACCATGTTCCCAACTAGCAGCCATTCTGCAGCCTGGCGTGGGGCCATCAGAGACATTTTGAGAGGGCACCTACACATTCTCAAACTCCCAAATGAGACTGTAAAGCCAGAATATTTGTGGGATTTCTCGCCACAACACTTCCAATGCCTTCTCCTCAGTCACGTTAGAGGTATGATAAAAATGCAGGGACATATCACTTGCACCCCAGCTGCTTACAGAGGGGCAACTGCTCCGTGTGACACACTGCACAACAGAGCAACAAATGTGCTTTCCACTTAATTTAACTTTATTCTCCAAGGCTGATTCCATGGGGTCCCTTCCAATTCCATCATTCTGATGTACAGATCCTGTAGCAGTGTGCGTCAGGCCACAGAAATCAACCAGCCATTCCACTGGAGATCAACGTCTCTGTTTTTAATGTGGCCAGCCATGGAGAGAGAAAGAAGCATGAGTCACATCTGCTTCAAGGAACTGATTGAGGATCCCAGAAATTATGCCCTTTTGCTCAAACAGAAATGTGATAAAAGCTCTCTGAGGAGCAAGTCCCTAAACGAAAGAAGAGGAAGAAAAAGAACACTCACGTGGTTGCAGTCTGATGAAATTTCATTGTCCGGCTGGAAAAAAAAGAAGATGATAATAATATTTCAGAATAGGTCAGGTTATACTGCCTAGTCTCTACAGAGACAGACAAATCCTATTGTTTCAGAAGAATGTGCATTATTAAACAAACTTTCTTAAGCAAACTACGAAGGTTATCCGCCCACAGATTAAATAGAGGATTTATCTCATCTAATCAATCTCTGACTCCCATACAGTGGCCTTGATGCTGCTTTGGAATCCTCCCTTCTTACTGCTTTTCCAAGACTCTTATTTCACAAAGCGGTATAGCCTCTCTAGACAGACCGGAAGTTTCCTCTGTGCCTTTAACATCCTCCTCGGAATCTGTTTATTCTGGAAGTTTTGTGTTTGTTGTCAAATGAAGCAAAATCATATTAAACTTTGCTCCAACCTCCTGCCCTCAACATCCTCCCAACTGTTACCCTCCTGGACTCTCCTCAGCAACACCCTATGTATATGCACGGGAGCTTGGGAGTGATGTATAATGGAACAAACAGAAAGGATCATGGTACTTTCAAGACAAACGGAACAAGGCAGGCTCCACCAAGCTCTTCTTCCCATTTCCCTTTACCTTCAGTTGGTCTACTTTTTTTTTTAGAGCTTACTTTAAAAGCCATCAGGTGGGCACAAATTATAAGAGTTGGCATTCAAGAATCCAACAATGGGGGAAACTGCTTTGGAGTCAAGGTTCTGTCTTTGGGACTGCAAATATTTGGGATGCCAACACTCTGGAGTCGCAAGTTGCATGGCCAAATGGCCAAGGATTCTGAAACTGAAGTCCAAAGCATACAGAGGACCAAAGACTGAGAAACAATGTCCTAGATTGTATTCAGCAAGGTAGCCATGTTAATCTATTTCAGAAAAACAAACAACAAAAGAACTTTAAAGAGTAACAGATTTTTAAAAAGATTTTAAACACCACCTCTTTTCGTCTTTACAATGTATCAGGCCCAATTCAACCACCTTGCCTTCATAATCATGTGTTAGTTATATCATTTACACTGAGGCAAAACAGCAGTCTGATAACCATGTATTTACCTTAATACAATGGTTCCCAACCTTGGGTGACCCAGATGTTCCTGGACTAAAACTCCCTGATGCCTTCACCACTAGCCATGCCGAGATTTCTGCAAGTTATAGTCCAAGAACATTTGGGGACCCAAAGTTGGGATCCACTGCTTTATTAGGTGAAAAGCAAGGGAACTATTCTGGTACGCCTGCACCACATGTAGCAAACATTTCAGGCATAAGGAAATATTCTGCACTGCAGGAAGATGTTTCTGTGGCCTAAAAGAAGCCAAGGATAGTGCTATGAGTTTTGCATTTCAGTGAGCCTAGGTGATCACCTAAACAAGATACTATATGGTAGGACACCACCACCACCCCATATCTGTGGAAGATTGGTTCCACGCTCCACCGTGAATGCCTGAAACCACAGAAAACCCTATATAGCAAATACAAGGGAGTGAGACAAAGACAACAAAGGGGTGTCCTAGTTTGTTGTGTATAGGACTGCAGCAAACTGCAGATATAAGGGACTTACTGTATACATTTCCTTCATATTTTGTGTTAACATGGGGCCTGAAATCAGTGTAGGGAACATGTAAGCTAGCAACTTTAATTCATTACATTGGCTAAGGTTCTGAAAATAAAGTGGGCAGGGAAATCCATTTAATTCCAGTTTTCTAACACCCTTACTGTATACATTTCCTTCATATTTTGTCTTAACATGGGGCCTGAAATCAGGATAGGGAACATGTAAGCTAGCAACTTTCTGAAAATAAAGTGGGCAGGGAAATCTATTTAATTCCAGTTTTCTAACACTGGGGGAGGAAAGTGAGACAGGCTTTATATAGGCTTTCAGTGTGAGCCGCATCCCAGCAAACAGGATGTGGTAATTTAAAGAAAGGAGTCCATTGCTTTGAAAATTTCTGCCACAAGCTTATTTAGCACAACAAGATTCAACAGATGAGAGAAACTAATGCTGTAATTCACACCTGCACTGCTTCTCCCTCAAAGGAACAAAACATATGATTTTTTTAACCCTTTTCTCTTTCTTGATTATACTGCCAAGTGAAGCTGCTAATATAAGCATGATTTCATTCATGCAAATGTAGTGGACATACTCCAAAATGTGGCAATGCATTTTAACAGCAGATACCTTCATTTAAGCCTGATCATTCAATGGTTTTAAGTGCACATCATGGAAAACATATTTAAAATGTATAATCAGCAGTCTCTAAAAACCGTAAAGTTCTTTTTTTAGCCCTACCCACTTGGCCAGTTGGCTGAGGTAGGCTGCTTCAGAGGGACAGGCATGAGGCTTCTAAAACATCCTCTGAAATGCCACCTAGTATTCTGCTTCAGAATAAGTACGACACTGAAGCTGGAAACATTTCTGGCAGGTATGAACTGTAAATTCAAATCTGGTTTAGGTAAGATTAACTTCTTACGCAAAAAAAAAAAAATAGTTATCCACTTACTACTCTTATATGTTCCTGGTTGTTGGAGCAATACATGCTTCCCATTATAACCCAGGGGAAGAATAAAGCACATGAAGTATCTAATTCTATGAAACCATTATTTGGAAATTGAGATAGGCAGTTACAGCTACAGTCATGAATTACAATAAAAGCTGCCCTGTGTATTCATAAGAACAAGCCACAAAGGATTTGCCTCTAAGACCACCACCCCCCTCAACAAAGATGCCATCGATTTGCTTCCTGAAATATTCACAGAAATATTGTCCAGGCTTGTAAGGCCAGAGATTTCTGTCACTTGGGCTCTAATCCTCAGAGAAGGAAGAAGATGGAGACAAGGTTCAAAAAAAGTAAGAATGGGTCTTTAGTACACTGGGAAGGGTGAAAGATGGCACTTCCCTTTCTTTCCAGAGATTCCAAAATGAAAAGACGACATGGAATGGTGCAGTGAAATTTCTCCCACTGGTTTTTATTTTAAGCGAGAGGTATGAGACAGCAGGACAAGTCCTTCCATCATGGGCTTCTCTCCAGCATGGAGGAAGTAGTTTGTACACAGGAACATTTACACTCTCAAGCTAAATAGCAGAGCACAATGCAAGAGGAGAGGCTTGGCTTGCCGGCCAGCAGTTAGGAACAAACCCCTGTTGGGAAGACGTCTGCAAGCTTATTTCCTGCGCCAAAGGCAGCCATAAAATCCAGAAGCATCATACTCCTAGCAGGGACATGCGTGGAAGTGATCGTTTTTTGTTTTCGCACTTTATATGCATAAAACATTAGAAAATATCACTTTTTGATTTAAGTCATTATTTCAATTGTGATTTAGAGAAATATGATTTAAATCAAATCCACCCTCTCAAACATTTCAGCCTTACCTCCCACTCTGTTTTTTCTCTATTTATGATTTAGATCAATTTGATTTTAATCAAATCCACCCTCTTCTCAAACGTTTCAGCATTACCTCCCACTCTGTTTTTTCGGTATTTAAAACTCATGCCCCCCACCATCCTTTAACACCATCTAACCCCATTTCCCCCCAAAAAAACTAATTAAATTTTTTAAAGAACACAAAAGCAGATTTTAACTATTTTAAATTAAACATGAACACAAAAAGTTTTTCTTGAAAAATCCTAAGTACTAGCAAATTGTAATTATTGTAAAGATTTGTTTAAGCTAGTAAAAATGTTAAATCTCGAAGTCATTATATCCCACTTCATAAATTTTTCACACACCCCAGGGAGGCACACCCACCCACGCCTTGGGGAATGAATGGGCTAATAGTTCACTTCTGGTTCTCAGTTCAATTGGGAAATCAATCAACCAAAGCTTTCATCGTTTCATTGTCACTTTGAAATTACGTTCTCTATGCCTGTATCCTTGAATCATGGGGTCCCTACCTCCACAGCATCTACCATGTATATAAACTTGAAGATGAACATTTCACTCCATGTATCAGAGAAAATGGACGTTAATCCGCAACAGTGTAAGTAAAGTTGCATCAGTTAGTTACATTTTTAAGGCATTGTTTTTGTTATGCATCCTTATTTCTTGTTGTTATATATCCTGAAACAGAGTAACATAGCTACCTCTTTGAAAACTGTTAAGGTCATGGTTCAGTACTTGTTTGGAATCTAATTCAAAGCAAGGTGGATTGGACTGAAATCAAGTTTAAATAAAATGTTGTACAGATTATTCTCCAAGACCAAAGATAAAAGCATTCACTGAATCACAAGTGAACATTTCTAAAGGCCATTGCTTTACCATAAACAATCAATCAAGTCAGGATATAGATCGCTATAGGAAGAAGGCCATTTTGGTAGGAGAACAACATCCCCTGCTCTGGCACCCAGACTTTGGACTTCTCGTTACAAAGCCCTGTATTGGGGCTTGTATCACAAAGCAAAGCCTAGAGATGAGCAACCTGGTGCCCTCCAGATGTTTGGATTTATTTATTTACTTACTTATTCAAAATAATTTTACCCCACCTTTCTCCTTTATAAGGACCCAAGGTGGCTTACATCATTAAAATGCAATTATTTAAAGGCTAAAACTTACATCATTAAAATGCAATTATTTAAAAGCTAAAAACAATACATTTGCGAAGGCTTTCACGGCCGGGATCTAATGGTTGTCCTCTGAAGATGCCCATGGCCACAGAGACTGGCGAAACGTTAGGAAGAACAACCTTCAGAACACGGCCAAAGAGCCCGAAAAACCCACAACAACCACTAAAACCAATATTTATACAAATATGTTTAGAAGAAGCAAATACCACACTAAAAATGGTTAACCATAACCAATGCCAAAACACGTTCAAAGCAACAAGGCACAAAACTCCATTTAAAAAACCCTGCCAGAAAGCCAATCACTAAAAGAAAACCGGTCTGAAGATAAAGGTTTGTAGACCATATTTTTGTAATTTATATTTACTTTGGGGTAGTTTGTTTTAACTGTCTGCAAACCTCCCAGAATAGTGCTTCGACACTAATGGGGTGGTACATACATCAAAGTAATAATAAAAATAAAAATAAACTGATCTCTTTGCAATTTATTTTAATGGGAGATTTATGGGAGCTGTAGTCTAGAACATTATGGAGAGATCACGCTTCTTACCCAGAGTTCAGTGTATGGTTTGCCCCAGGATGGATTCAATTTCAATCAAATTGATTTAAATCACCATTTAAATAATGATTTAAATTTTAAAAATCAGATTTTTTTTCCAACAATTTAAATCAAAAACATCATTTTAAAAAATTTTAATTGTGATTTAAATCAATTTGATTTTTCTAAAAAATTCATTTTTATCCACCTCAATTGGCCCATATTGTATGTCTGCCCCTTTGGGTCTCTTATTACATTTGTATCACTGCTATTTCACTGGTATTCTTATGTTCATTGTTTAACCATTATACTTGGTTTTAGCTGGATTTTATGATTCCACAGTTAGCTGTCTTGGGCCACACAAGCAAAGGCAGGATATAATTGTTTTAAACAGATCAACAGCTATGGCCTATTGCTAAAGTCTCACTTCATGTATTTACAGGAATCATAATTGCTGTGAAATGGCACTCCAGTGTTGGCTAAACCTCTTAGAGCAAGAAATTCCAATTCAATTTTTCCCCCTGTGTTACTAGGAGTCAGAGTTCTGCCAGATTATCTCATTAAAACATCCGAGCTCTTTTGGTTTAAAAGTCAGCTTCGGCTCATACAAGCCAGGAGACTGACAATGGAGCTCTCGCTGCTATTACACAGAGCATAACTAAGGATGCGGTTTCTTCCAGAGCCTTCTTGCTTTGGGTTTTCTTCACAAACCTAGTTGGGGGGGGGGAGAGAGAAGATTTTTCACATATCTGAGTTGAAGGCAGGTGATTTCCCCTTTATTCTACAGGGACACCTGTGCTACCTCTCTGTACAGCTGAAATAGCTGTAGCTGCTTTGAGATAAATCATTTGGTCCTTTGTTCAAAAAGGGAACAGAATTAGCAGGAACCACAAAGGACTATGCTTTCTGGATTAAACTATCAGACGGCCCTACAACAACAGAGTGGCAATCAGCCCTCTTTCTTCCTCTTCTCCCCTCATTCAATCTTAGGAAGGCATATCTCTGTGCTTGGCACTGATTACTTACAATCACACTTTCTGTGGCTTAATCACGAGCCTTTCAAGATGGTTCAGAAAGTTCAAGCAGTGCTGAGGGCAACGATCCACTTGTTAACTGTCATGGGCCAAGGTTCACATATACAACCTTTCTGAAACATCTGCCTTGCCATTCGGTTGCCAGGCCCCATTTTAATTCTCGAGTCTCTCCTTTAAGTCCTTGAAACCCTGAGCCCAATTATTGCACAAAAACTCTCTCCCACAGGAGCCCCCAAACGTGCTCTCAATTCCAGCCTACAATAAAGCTGAGCAGCTTTCACTCCAGAATAGGGCCTTTCCTATAGCAGCTCCCATGTTGTGAAAGTAACACCTTAACAGTCAGAATAACATGCATCAGTTTCACTAAAGATCTATGCAACTGGCATTCTTTCATCATCATCATCATCATCATCATCATCATCATCATCATCATCATCATCAAACTGCAGAGCTGGAAGGAACCCCTACAGATTATAGAGTCCAGCTCCTATTAAGAAAGCACAATGGGGAGTCAAACTCCCAACCTCTGGCTCCATAGCCAGAAAGCTAAACCACCAAGCTATACGGCAGTTCCTTCTTTGATTTTTTAAGAAGCACAAATTAAATCGTTTATCAAAAACCAAAGCAGTAGATCTGTTAGTCTGTCTCAGTATATTGACAAACATAAAGAGGAAAAAAGGGGAAATGCTGTAGCATTTTATAGAAAAAAATAATCTTTAAAGCACCACAATGTTTTTCTTTTTCTCTTCTTTTCCTCCTATTTAATTCTGCCAAATGGATCTGGTAGTGTGTGTATATCTAAAAACAGCATATCTAATGATTTGCATTTTAGAAAGATATAGATTCTCAAATCCTTCATGACTATGCTATGTTCAAACAAAAGATGAAGAATATCATTCAAATTCAAAAACAACGGTGTGACCATATTTATCACCCAATTTGTGATGGTCTAAATGCCTCCGTCCATCCTAATTTGGTACTCTCTTTTCCTGCCCACTCAAGAGACACAAATTAGACTCCCCATCCGCACCTCTCAGTCCCCAACACATCTGCCTGCACATGTCTGGGCTTAAGCCTGCACCACTAATGATGTGCCATTCAACTAGGGAACACTCTGTGGTTCTTGGGCTTAGTAAAGACACTGCAGACTTGTAGACACGGAGATAATTCAAATAGGTGCCCAGCTGCTTCTGCACTGAGAATTTTCTACTGAATATTCATTCTTTAATGGAAGGTTCAGCTGTGTCAATATTGATTAACTGGATACACAGATCTGTGAAAGATAAATTATAGCTGCAATGAAGAGGAGCTAATGGAAAAGGGGTGTGGAATTAAAATTTACATCCTGCTCCATCTATTCTTAGTTTAGCCACTAGTACAGAGGCTGGCCTTCAATATTGGTCTCCTATCTAGCAGGGTCGCATACAAAAGAGATGCTATATTATACTGTACAGCGACCATTTACCAGCACACTCTTCTGTTCTTCTTCCCATAAAGATTCTGCTATTAAACAACAAATACCTGGTTCGGTCAATACCAAATATCTCACCACTGCCCTAATCTTGCAAGATTACTACTATTACTATTTTATCAAGAGAGCAAACATAGTGTTCGCCGTGAGCCCCAAATTGCCTGCTGTCAGTTCTAGAAGTGCAAAACAGTCTTTGTTCTGGTTGAGGCAGACAAGTGAAAATCCACCATGCATTCAAGGAAGCCCCTCCAGGAAGGCTTCGGTGCCTCTGCTGTTGTTTCATTCCACCTCAACCCCAGCCCAGCCAAGCTGAAGGGTATCTGAAAGGAAGCCTGAATTCCACATCTGCTGGAATAGAAGAATACAGCAGTACGCTCAACCAAAGCAACTTGCACTGCAGGTCAAACACAGCAGCCCAGAAGCTGTAATAGAGATAACAAGGTGTTGTGTCCCTCTTGTTTATCACGATCAATGAAATTCATGGTGGGGCGTTGCAGCGGAGCGGAGATCTGATTAATCGCTCACAGAGTAAAACAGGTATGTCAAGACAAAAGAGATCAGAGATATCATGGGCAAGGCAATAAGGAAGCTGGAGAAAGGTGACAGTTTATAAAGTCTTCATTAAAGCTATGTTCCACATTTTCTCACCCAGCGCTCAAGGTTTTAACATTTTTGCAAGACAATTCTGCAACCCTGAATAAACGGTCCAAACCACAGAGAACACCCCAGGGTCCCAAATACACCAATCTGCATATAAACTGAACTGCAAAGGAGCAGCTGGGAAGCCCTGGCCTCTCATCTTGATCTACAGCAATTATTAGGAGGCCCAGAGACTCATCTGCTACTAGATGGTTGCTAGATGACCAGTCTTTTGGGGGAACAGAATGAATGAGATCTGCCAAGGCAGTCCAGCTGGAGCAAAGGAGATATAATTCACCACAAATCCTTCACACACACCTTTTCTCATGCCTCAAGGGACAATTAGCAGGCTGCAAATGGAACACAAAGTACAGGTTTCCCCAATTCTGTAAGTGCCAGAGGTCTCACACAGCAATTTAACCTCATTTCTGGCCAGCATAAGGATGAGGCCTTAAACAACTATAGAGCAGTTTAGTAAAGGCTCTCACTTGTTTCCCAAATGTTTACAATATGGTTAGAAGTTTGATGGAAAAGCAACAGAGAGAGAGCAGACTGTAATGTTATGCAAATACACATAACACCCCTGTGCAAAATGGAGCTGAACGTATTCAGTAAACAGACACCGTTTGCAATGGACTCATCCATTCTTCCATATAGGAAAGAAAAATTA